GCCCCATTATTTTTCAACATTAGCCTTCCTTCTAAATTAACCATGTACTAAAACCCTCATTAAATCAATGCTTAAGGCTTGTCTTTGTAAGTTCCCAAATATTTGTTCCTGTGTTGTTTATGTCTAAAACAAGAATTTCTACATTGGATTTGTCATTGTAGTAACATGAATCCAGGACACAATTTATTTTTGTTAAAAATTTAACTATTTATTTTAGTTAAATATGCATATTATTTTGGTGTTTAAGATGGTTTGATACTTAAAATGTTCAGCCCCTCCAAACATGACCTGTGCTGTAATCTTAAGGTACATTTAGTTGTGTAGAAGTTTCAAAAGTAGAGGGAGTTCGGTGGGAAGGAATGTTTTTATGGATTATAAATTCATAATTACTCTTTTTCTATAGTAGATGTTCAGCAGGTTCAATTCAGTTTTGGCCTTAATTCCCTTGGTACAAATTTCAATATGATTATTAAATGGCAAAGTAGCATCCAAAGCAAAAGTAGCTACGGAGAAAAGAAAAAGCAGCAGTGTCAGGCCCATATCTAGCACTTTAAGATCTTTGGAATGCTCCACTTTAAGGTTCAAACTTAAGTCCAGCGTCAAGCTTAATCTGTCAAAGAACAAAGACTGTTTTACCATCAAATGGGAGGCGAGTAGAGACAGGAGTTACAGAAGTATCTTTTGTTGAACTGAGAAGACTGCAGTAACAGAGACAGCCCCTGTATTACATCCATATTAGATCTTATGCGACTAGAGCCAGCCTAACAAAGCGCATCACACCCCTAAGTAGGACAGAATATAGCTCAAGCAAGCCAACATGATACCACATGAACATATAAGGTACAGATGGACAGTGGACAACTATTGCAGATATCTAAAGAAAACAACAGAAGAATGAGGGGATGCTATGAATTCAAATGGAGAACAAGCCTGTAATCAGCAGGGGATACTGCAGGATGAGACATGCAGGGGATACCTGCCATGTGCTAGCTAAGGCAGAGACACACCAGGCGGTAGTCCAGGGGAGATGGATGCAGAAGAGTGCAGGGGAGCAGAATAAAGGGTGTGTCACTGAACCCAGACGCACTCAGAGGGGGCATGTTATTAAGATAATGCACACCTGAAAGACTATAAAGCTCCAATTTATTTTTATGTTATTTTTCTTTCTCAAAAGATAAGGGAGGTAACAATATGGAAGAACTGCTGGATTATGCCTGAGTAGATAAGGGATTTAGGGAGTAGTTAACAGCAACACCCACTGCTTTTGGCTTGAGGATAGAAAGGCCACAGCTGGAGAGAACTTGGTAGAAAAGCCTTTGTTTAAATAAAGCTGAGAAGTTAGTTTGTTGGAAGGCATAGTCTGTGTCACTCAGTGGGATGCAGTTCATCAACCTCAAAACAATTGCTGAGACACTTTCCTTACCCTTTAGCATCCATCTGCAATTTAGAGATGACGATGGTGATAACAAGAACAACAATAATGAGTCACCACAGAGCACTGTGGTGTTGCGATTGTTGATGTTTTTCAAGATACCTGGAGAGTGCAGTTTTCTGTCTAAACACAGAATTGCACACACTGTGTTTTAATTGATTAGGAAAAGTTTGTTATATTGTGACAGCTTGCAACAGGTGAATGCCCTGCTCTTTCCTACTCATTGGAGTTGTACTCCTGAATCCCTTCTGCCAGCCCCCTTCCTTTCCCCCCAGATCTAGCTGCCAGGCACAGTAGGAACATAACATGCTCATAAGGAGTGGGGCCTATACTGAGCCCGGGAATGCTGATGTCCCGCTACTTAGCATGCTGTTCTCAATATGCTCAGCACATCCTGGGTGCCAAGACACCTCTCTTAGGAATTATGGACTGCTGGTGCCCAAAATACAGCCTTGGCAACATTTTTGGGAATATTGAAGATCCCAGCACTGGTTCTGCCTGGCAGCACTGGATGGAACTCATGCTGCCAACACTTGATTGTTGCTGTCAGATACAGTAGCTTTCAGTAGTTAAGGAGGCAGCTTCTGGTGGCAGAAAAGACTGCTGTGGCTTTCAGGGAACCTATAAAACGGGTCCAAATTTCAGAGTGGTTTTGGGTTCAGTAATAGGCCAGGGAATGCACTTTGGTCATGGAGCAGGAAATAGTGAGCAAAAGGAATTGGATTCTGAGTTTTCCTGTTTCTGAAACGCTCTCCTGGAAGTAGGTTCAGGTTTCAGTTTACTGCAGATTAATGTTATGAAATATTTAGGTTGCAATCCTGTACACACTTACCTAGAATAAAGCCTCCTTGAACTTGCTGACTCTTACATTACAGTGGACATGCATAGGAGTGTGCTGTTAGTCAACCTTGAGGCTGTAATCCTATGCACCTTTAAGAAGGATTATGTTCTGGAGAATTCAAAAGGGTTTACTTCTGAATAGGCATGTACACTAGGATTATGAATTCGCTTCCTGTCAAGTTATCCTGGTGGAACACTTCTTCCAGTTTCTTTCTGCCTTGTTAATGCCATTTCAAGGAGAAACAGGAAACTGTAGAAAGCACAAGGAAAACTTATAATTGTATAAGTGTAAGTTTAGGTATCAGTTTTGGTGCTTTCATTATTTAGTATGCTGGCTGAGGTAATTTGATCTGACAAGACTCTCTTAAACATTATTCATTAAATATCCGAATAGTGTGAGGATCCATCTATGAAAGTAGATTGCAGTATTTCCATTGATCTTCCTTTCTTCTTCTTTTTAATGGCCCTGGGTCATATGTACTACAGTAAAATCTTGACCTTCTTCATTATTAATAGGAAACATAGCAGTTCAATTTATTTTTGAGTTGAAGTCACCTGTTTTAGTATTATGCAAATAAGATTCTTAAAGCCATACAATTTAATTAATTAAGTAGATTTATATAGCACTGAAAATATTTAAAAACAGTTCTAAAAAGTATTCTTTTAACAAAAAGACTGATGAGCAGCAGAGAGTTAGGTTAAAATCCAGTGCATATTTAGACAGAAAAAATGTCATATAAATCCCAGTATTGTTCAGGTAATCATGTTGGTAAGCTTTGTCTAAAAATATAAATTGGTCTTTGAACACATATTGAGTTGAAAATTTGCAAACAAATTTTAGAAGACTTGGGAATAGGTCAAAGGATGTGTTCATCTGATAGAAGAGGCAGGTAGTACAGAGGTGGGAAAGCATGAAAAAGAGGACAGGAGAGAGCAGGAGATTATGAACAGGGATGCATGCATATTGGGATACATCTGTATGTATGGAGTGATATATATGTTTATAAATGGGAATGTATGTTCCTATAAGTCATGCATGTTTGAATATAATTTATGCATATGTGTACATGCATGTGTGAATACAAGAATCTGAATGAATTGTTTGCACTGTGTGTACAAACACGTGAGAAAATGTCTATGCATGTAAAAATCCCTGTTCTTCCTTCCCCTTTGTCCCTTCCATGTTTGCAAATTTTACAGATACCATAAATATTTAAACTAAGAACTAAGAATAAAGCTATGGAAACACAATGGCTTCTTTCATTGTGCAATAGACAATTCTGATCTTGTGTTTGGATCTGACATGCATTTCTGTGACATGCTACACTGGAAGAACAACTCCTTCACTTAGGCCATGAGGTCAGAATTAAGCAATTTTTAAACCAGATTTCCATTCAACTATTTTATTGTATCTCCCATCCTACAATGCAGCTGTTTTAAAATTCTGCAGAATAAATTTGTCTTAAAGTCATCACTGAAGGAAATGCACTTTCATTCACGACCAGAATTGCAGCACAAAGCCATCCAAATTGCTAGAACATTTGACAAGAATGAGAGCATTTTCATACCAGGAACAGAAATAATTTTTATACCAAGAGTCATACAAAAGTGGCAATAAGTTTGCAATCAGAACAGTAAATAAAGCATGAATATTAAAATATGATAATTGTCTGTATGACTCTATATATTCTGAGAATATACGAAACTTGAAAATCTTGCTCATGTATAGGCATATTTCCTAATCAGCTCCAACTGTACTTAAGGAAGCACACAACCTATTTTGCTTGAATTTAGATGGGGAAGTTAATTTGAATGTGTATCTCGTACTAGCCACACAGTGTAGATTGACAGCACCCATGCCCAGATTTGCATATTGATAGGCACTGTGAAGCACATCTCATTTTTGTCCCAGTCCAGCTGTCTAAGGTGATAATCACTGGTAGCCCCAGTCTGTTTTGGAAAGAAGTACACACTTTTCACTGTACTTTATATATATATTGTCCATGTGGTATCTCAAGCTGAACTGATGTTTTTGAACAAGTTGCAAGTTAGCTTTTAAGACCCCCGAGGAGGAAGATAATGCTTTTCTCTGCCAGAATCCAGACTAGTTTGAACAGCTCTTCCTTGGGAAACTTGTAGCTTTGTCATTCAAGTGGCAGCTCCCCATCTACAACTAACGCTCCATCCAAGACTGGAGGGCCTATTGCCACCACATTTTTACCCTATAGCTTATCCTTCTTGCATACAGAACTTCAACTGTTGAGTGGTATAGAAACTGAATAAATAAATATGACTATTTTTCTATACAGCAGATGTTGACACAGAACTCTTCTTTCAGTTTCAAAGTATGCTGGAAATACTCTTTGGTGTGCTCACAAAATCAGACCAAGGATTCCACTTTCATGTCTAAGATGGAATGATTGACATGTTATAATAGACACAAACTTGGTGTGTGAAGCTGAATAGAAAAGTATTTTACTATGAATGTCCATTGTGCCAAAAATATTGAAAAACCAATTAATGTTCCTATCAGGGTTCTGGCACTACTTTTTGTGTAATGAATTTTGCATAACTTTCAGGATCAAGCTGAATAGATATTAAAGAAAATTCTGTTCTGCAGAATTTATCCTAATATTTATGACAATATATTCAAAGGTACTGAAGATATTTCAGCTATCACTTCCTAGCATTTTATTATCTCCATTTTAATCTCTTTAATCTCTTTCAGTCCCAGCAAAAATGCATTGTGATCTTTGCATTGGTTTGCTGCTTTGCAATTCTGGTTGCACTGATATTTTCGGCTGTGGATATTGTGGGAGAAGATGAGGATGGACTCTCAGAAAAGAACTGTCAAAATAACTGTCGGTAAGAGGTAACAAGCAAAACTTCTCTTTTGGGGTGGGTGATAATCCATAGCCAAGAAAAGTTTAGGCTTGTACACAGTTATACTTGGGATAAGAGAATTCGGTGGTGATGTTCACAGGAACAAAGGCAAAAGTGAATTAGAATGTATGGCATAGCATAGCAAGCATAGCATAACATAGCATAGGTAAAGCCAGCTTAAGACACAGAATGCCAAAACCTGACTTGCAAAATCTCTCTTGTCAGACAGCACAAGCTATTTAACTCCAATGTGAACATTAAAAGGATTAGCATGTCTTGCCTACATTAAGCAGATTGAGCATTTCTATTACAAATTCATTGTTCTCACATCAGTAACAATCAGACATTCACATAAATCACACAAGAGAAGGTCAGACCTTATGTCTCACCCATACAAATGTTTCAGTGTCTGTTTTCCTAGCTGAAGGATCAAGTGCAGTGGCTTTAGAGCATCTATATATTCTCAGGGGATATCCCATGATCTTCAGTGTGGGAGAAAGCTCCATAACTGAACATTTAGTCTGGTACTAAACATATATTCTGCCATGTATCAGTAGTACTGGGAATAGTCAAATACCATATCCATATGCTTAGCTTAAGCTTCCTCTTTGAACTCCATGAAGTTTTGAAGTTCCATTGTACCTATGCACAGAAAACTGAAAGGTCTGTTCCACTGCCAATTCCCTGCTCCATTCTTAAGTAAAACACAGGTAACTGACACAAGGAGAAAGTGCAGCACCTTTCTCTGTTACTCGCTCTTATGCAAAAGTGACAACAGGTGGCAAAGTGTTAGAGCTGGTTATGTTCACAGCTACATATGATGGGAAGACTGTCTTTCCCTTATTCAAGGAATGAACCACACATTCTCAAATTCATCTCATATGTCTTAAGAAATACCTGTATCATCTCGCCTGTGCTTTATTTAGTTATTGTTTGTGCCATCCAATAGCTGAAGCCCACTGGGCAGTTCACAACAGTTTAAAAACAATTTAAAGTGCATAAAACAGAACAAAAATGCAGCATAAAACTTAAATGTTTTAAACTACAGTATAAAATAGAACTAGCAGCATTTAATATACAGTAGAGAATTTAAACAGATTGAAACTAACATTCTTGGGAAATTAGAAGATCTTCACTTTTGTATCAGTGAAGGGTTCAGTAATATGAACCCTTTTGTATCAGTAATATGATCATACTGATTAGTGTCCATTAGCACTGTTTTAGGCTTGCTGAAGTTTCCATTTTCAAAAGTAGTCTCATGTATAACACATTGCAATAATCCAGCCAAGGGTTACCAGAGCATGGGTGAGACAGAGGGTGAAAGCCAGAGTTCTTGGATTTTGGCTCTGAGACTATGGTATCACTGTGGAAAGCTAAGGAAATGGAATACAGCTGGTGGAAATGAGTTTTCAGTTTTTGTCTCTGAAGCTCTGCCTGCCTCCTGAGAAAAGACACCAATACCAGCAGAGGTAGGACAACCCTGAAACTAGCAGCAGAAGAAGGCAGCTGAAAAGGGGAGAAATCCTAAACTTCATTGGTCCTTTTTTAGCCACTGTGCTGAAGGCTGGCACTCCCCATTTTGCATATTTTAACATATGTCTTGGAATCTTGAATAATCCAGGGAGAAAGGGAAGAGGTACCCCAATTACTGTCATTATGGGTAAGGGCAGGTTTTGGACAAGTGACCCTTCGGGTGCCTAGGGAGTTTAGACAGAAAAAAGTCCAACAACTCCAAGGCCATATTTGTTTCTAAAAATGCATACAATGCCCTAAAGTCAGGAAGAAGGGGTGCAAAACCATCTTTGAAGAAATTGTGACAACCCAGATTCAGGAAAAGCTTCCTCACTGTCAGAGCAATACAACAATGGAACCAGCTGCCTAGAGAGGTGGCGAACTCTCCCACACTAGAGACATTCAAAAAGAAACTGGACAGCCATCTGAGTGGGATGGTGTAACTTGGTGTCCTGCAACAGCAGGGGGTTAAACCTGATGGCCTTCATGGCCGCTTCCAATTCTACTATTCTCTGATTCTATTGCATAACACTGAGACAAGCAGGAGATGAGTGTTTGAGGGTCTAAATTTGTGGTCCTTTGATCTTTGGGGGGGGGGGGTAATGGTTCTGATTTTCCAGCCATTTATTCCCTGTTCACATGTTTTCTTTCCCAATAGTTTGATTCCTAATGAGCTTTGATAAAAATGATCAAAATCAGCCAGTTCTCTTATTTGTGGCCCATGTAATATACAATTTATTTTAGTAGATGTGTGATCTTTGCCATGGCAGGGATGTTAAATACTATAGTTACATATTGATATACTGCCTATAAATTACACAACTGTCCCACAGATGCCCTGACAGCAGACTAATATACTACATTCCAGGAAAGAGCAGGAAGAATTTTAGGGGAAAAACGCCTTGCCTTCAACTCTAGTTACACTCACAGAGGCTGGAGAAGGACTTGCTGAGAGGATATAAGGGGTTTTCTGCAAGCTATGGCTTATTCAGAACAGAAGTATTCTTCATGCTGGGTTTATTTATTCATTTTAAAATGTCTTGGTCACCTCACAGGGAAGAAGGCCTCAAAAAGGTCATTTTAAGAGGCCTTCTTAAAAGTCTGAGATATTGGAGCATGGTGACACTTGTTCAGGAAAGGTGGGGACACTGCAGAGACAGCTTTCTTGCATACGGTCACCCATCTACCTGCTCCCACAGGTGGGCAGATGAGAAAAAAACTCAGGACCTGCAGTTTCCTGGATTTTAAATACCAGCCTCTATGAAATTTTGTGCTGCTCTGTGTGTAGCATAAACATAGTCTTGCATTTCAATTAGAAACACTTAAATGTATTTGTGCATTTTGCTTTGTTATATAGTGGAAGTTCTCCTGTTGAACATTTTTTCTTTTGCATGTGCAGCCAGGAAGAAGTCTGAGAAAGCAGTCTTCTGAGCTAGAGCAGAGCCTTTTGCAAAGTGTTAGGAACTGTACATATTTGAATTCATATTCCAACATTGATAATTCTGAACTTGCATGACATCACTATAACCTGCCAAGACAAAATTAAGCCATTTTCCTATCATTGGTTGTGCCACAATATATTTATTTATTTATTTATTTATTTTATTTTTTATTAAAACATTTTCATTTCAATTTATATCCTGCCTTTTTCCTACAAAGGGCTCAAGGCAGCTTACATCTCCTCCTCCATCTTATCCCCACAACAACAACCCTGTGAGGTAGGTTGAGCTGAGAGTCTGTGACTGGCCCAAAGTCACCCAGTTGGCTAGGGGAGTAAATGAAGGAATGCATAACCAACTCAAATGCCAAGACCTAAGAAAGTTGGTTTATGTGTTTAATAAGTTCACGCATAACATAACTCTGCCTAACATATAAGTCCTAGAGGCTTTTTCATGTGGGAGGTAATACTCATGTCAAAAGGAAGCACATTATTGGTCCTGCATGTTTGTTTCCTTCATATGCATATCTGCAGAAGAGCATGAGGAAGCAGGTCTCCCCCCCTTTTTTTGCAGGCTCAGAAGGATTAATTCCAGATTTATTACTGCTTGTATACTACAGAGTCAATATCTGATATTGGGATTAATAGGCAAGTTCAAATAATACCAGCTGCATATGTACTGCTACTTTCTTGCCTACTGATTTTGTATACATTTCTTACAGATTTCCTATTGTTTTCAGTATCTGCATAACGGCATACTGTTGATGTAATATCTCTTGCTATTTTTTTAATGGAAAGATATTAATAAGACAAACAGTGATAATACATGCTTGGTATGAAATCCCAAGAGTCATTGCTTTGTATTTTTACCAAAAGTATTCCAAAAGATCAAGGAAGTGAAAACCAGAGTTGATTGAGGATTTCCAAAACTGCATGAAAATCTACATCAAAGTTTGCTGTCTCTTTGGAGAAGAGATGCTTTTAAAAAATCTGTTGAAGGGAGTAGGAAGAGATAACTTGAATGAATAAATGGATAAACAAGCTTATGTTGTTACTGCACAGCAAAATTTAGAGGCTTGAAACTCTTTAACCCTTTCTCATACCCTTTGCTAGATGGTTTCTGGGCAACTAGTATCAAGTTCCAAAAATACATTAGCAATTTCAAAATACTGCATAAAAACTATAAAACCTGACACTGAGCAATAAAATAACTATTAGCAAATTGTTTGTCATTTGGAAAGCATTTTCTCTAAATTTTTATCATGAAGCTCCAGGATGAGCACCTCATCTAGAAAAGTCCTAGAGGGCCTGAGAAACTAAAAGGGACTTAACTGGGTATACAGCTGGCACTCCCAGGCATGGTTCCTCAGTCTGAGCAATTCATCCCATTAAGCAGTCACAAAGCTTGCCTACCACAGTTTGTCTGACTGTGCTAGAACCTGACTGCTTCCCATCTTTGATCATATTGCTGAGTCTTGGTTGCTTTCAGACTTTTTCTCTGTTTGTTCTGGACTATGTTATTTTCCTTTGACCCTACTGGACACCAATGTCTCTAGTCAGATCATAGATGACCTTGATAAAGTGCAGTAGGAAATTTTGCCCGGACAGTCTTCTGGGTAAAGATTTCCCATGGGATGAACACATCTGATCTTGCTAGGCAAGATGAAGGGAATCTGAGCATGTTTTACTCTTTTCTCTCCAGCTAAGAACTGATTGGCACAATGTTTGCAATGTCCTTTGTTTTCCTTCCCTGTTTTCTGCACATCTATTAAACAAGTTCCTCTTTGCAGGATATTTTTCTTCACAGTTCCCCAGATCAAGGGGACAGTTGTTTCCTACTTTCCTGTTTTTCATTCTTGCCAAAGAGATTTCATTGACCTGACACCTTAAAAAGACACTTGTTCTCCTGCTTTTTCTTCATTTTTTATGTTTTGCACAATATAATATAATTGGGGCAGCATATTTCATTTTACTCATCAACGTTTATTTGTACTTTACCAAGATACCTCCTACAATAATCTATTTGCCATCT